TTTGAGAGGAAGGGAACTCTTGGGGCTGGAGGAATAACTCAACAAGAGCACTTATCACTCTTGCATAGAACCTGGGTTCTATTCCCAGCACTCAATGTCAGGCAGCTCACAAATGCTTGTAACTCCAACACCCTCCATAGGCACCTATACTCTTGTACACAAATCTCCCACATATACACATAATTAAAAATAAAATTTTAAATTTAAAACTAAAGGGTAGGAACTCCCATTTTAGAAACCCAATTTTTGAGGGGTTGAAGATGAGAGAAAATGGTTTTTCTTTCAAGTGTTTCTTTCATTCTTGAGTTCTTGGATGTTTAAAGGTAGGGGTAGGGAGAGACATGACAGGTGGGATGCATGGACATGGAAGGACGTTTAGCAGAAGTCTTGCCAAATACTGCTGCATAAGCCACTGAGAAACAGGCTCTGCTTTTCCCTACCTCAGCCCTACCTGTACTCATATACTTTGTGAGAAGCTGTAGGTACATGAAAAAGACCGAGACATCTGATTATACATGGCCTTTGTTCAAAGCAAGCAACATCTAAAACACCATATCCTGAATTAGACATAGATTAATTATGAGGGAAGAAGAAAATGAAAGGGGTCAATATTTATTATCGTCTGTTTGCCAAGAACTATATTGGGTACTTTATACACATGAATTAACCTTTGTAATAGGTTAACCTTTATGGTGACATCAACCCTAAAATAGCCCCAGAGCAATTTCCTTATAGAGATAAATATGCTGAAGCTTAGGGAGATTCAGCAAACTGTCAGACATTACAGTTACTGCAAGACAGACAGAACCAAGCCTGGGACTGTGTGTGTGTGTGTGTGTGTGTGTGTGTGTGTGTGTGTGTGTGTGTAAAAGAGTAAGAAAGACAGCACATGCACTTCCCATGAACAAGATCTTGTTCATTTTGGGAAAGTCTCCTACCACTGAGCGAGACCTCCAGCCTTGATAACATTCTCCACAAGTCTATCTATCTGTTCTATAATCCTTGGATTAGAAATCTAACTGATAAATACCTGTAGCCTAGGGAGGTCTGGGAGGGGGCTTCAAAATTAGACCTTTTAGAAAAGACAGAACAAAAAACTGAAGAACCACTAGCTTCATCCTACACAGAAACTATATTTGTCCTTTTTAAAATTATTTTTATTTTTATTTTATGTGTGTGAGTGTTTTGCTTACATGTAAGAGCACTATGGAATGCCATGCCTGTAGAGGCCAGAAAAGGGTGTTGGATTCCCTGAAGCTGGAATTACAAGTAGTTGTGGACCATTATCTGGATGCTGGGAACCCAGCCTGGGTTCTCTGTAAGAACAGCCAGTGCTCTTAGCTGCTGAGCCATCTCTCCAGCCTCAGTATTTGTCCTCAGTGAATTAAAAAGATGAACTGTGATGACGATAATTATACTGTGTCTATTGGAAGAGCAGTAAAGATGGAGGAGGATTAATCAGGAGCTCCGGATGTAGGCTTTCTATAGATGCATTCTTTATGGAATTCAGTACAAAGCCAGAAACAGCTGAATGAAGAGGACGGAAGGCCAACCCAGTACTAGCTGAGCAGAGGAGCAAAGGAAAGAATCTCCCAAAAGAAAAGTGGGCTAAATACAGTGGAGGTCATGGGATGCTGATACATAGGTTTTTTAAAATATATTTTATTTATTTTATGTGTATGAGTGTATTGCCTACATGTAGGTAGGTTCACGCGAGTCATGCAGTGCCAACAGAGGACAGAAAAGGGCATTGGATCCCCTGGAACTAACTGGTTGTTAGTCATCATATGGGTGCTGGGAATAAACCCTGGTCCTCTGCAAGAGCAGCCAGTGCTCTTAACTGCTGAGCTCTCTCTTGAGCCCGGTATATTGTTTTTAAAACAAATACACAAGAGACTGCTGTGATGGCTTGGTCTAGAAAGCACTTACTGCTAAGCCTGAAGGCCTGCATTCTATGCCCAGAAGCCACATAAAAACTCTGGTTATGGTGGTATGGGCTTATTACAGTGCTGGGGAGGCAGAGACAGGCAGATCCCTATGGCCCGTTGGCTAGCCGACCTAGCCTGCTTGGTGAGTGGATGGCACTAAGTAATGATATCTGAGGTTGAGCTTTGGCCTCTACATGACCACACACACACACACACACACACACACACTACACACCACCTCATTTACAACATAAACAAACAAAAATAAAATGAAAAATTACAAAAATGGAAAAAAAGAAATTGGTGTCCTCTTGCTATTTGCTTTTG